AATGCCACTTCCTAATGGAAAAATATCCAGTGGTTCAAGACCACCACGTCAGCTTGGTCTCAACTACTCATGATCAGCCACATAAAAAAAGATAAGACCAAAAGTCTAACATTTCCACCTTTCCAGGGAGGTGGCTCCTAACAAGGTAAGACCTTTAATCCCACTTTTTCCTATGTGACTGACCACAAATGATTTGAGATCAAAGTTGATTTGATGGTCCAAGACCACCAAATAATTACTCAGATGTAAAATTGTACATCTTCAAAATGAACAAATTTGTAAGGATAGTGTGAGTATATTTTTATATGGCAAACGCTAACTAGTGCTAACTAGCTTTAAAATGGTTGTGCATTCCTTGCAGAAATGGGTAGGTAAAAAATGGTTGTACAGTCTACTCAACTAAAAAGTAAGGCCAAGTTTGGGAACTTGTAAAAAAGCCAAAAAGTCAAAAAGTTACTCAAAAAGTTAAAAAGTTAACACTATTCACCAAAAGTCAACAATTACGGCTGCACAACTCCTAATTCGAATTTTTTCCTACAAATCAATTTTTACAATTTTTTATTACACATTTTTTTTTATAAAAAGTCAAAAAGTTAACCCAAACATCCATATTTTCAACCTCAATTTTTTAGTCCAAAAAGACAAAAAGTGCACTTATTTAGGACACCCCAAACAACCCCTAAATATGACCATTACTTAACACTTCAAAATTGTATTCCTTCCCCCAAGGATATTGTCCACAACATTAACTTATGGATTGAATTATGTCAAGAATTTTCAAGTCACTCACACAAGCATTCTCCATGACATTGACAACCAAGATCCTCTATTACCCTCTCTGTCTCATCATCTGTCCCATGCCTCTTTTGTTGTTGTGATCGGTGAGGTGATGTAACAACAAGAGAAAGCATAGGAAAGAAGATGAGTCTAAGAGGAGAAAAGAGAATGAGGAACACTAACTTCAATAGACTTGCTTAAACATGCGTCAAGTGCTTGTTTATGACCATACAAGTTTATAGGATTTGTAAAAAGAGTATGGCAAAAAATTGAGCAATAACTACTCACTTCTCAACATAGACATTTTTTTAAAACATCTAAAAAAGAAAATATGGATTCTCACTGATGTTAACTGAGAAAATTATCCAAATTTCCTTATTTGGATGTCCCAAAGTTTTTGTCCACATTAAAATAAAGGAGTATTTTTCATTAATTTCTCCAAAACCCTTTGTTATAATGTTAATTAAACGGTCCTAACCTTTTAAATAATAAACAATATATCACAAAAGAAAAATAGTACACAATGAAGGAAAAAGTATTCAATGATCCAAAGCTACCATGTCAGCTTTGGTCCCAACCACTCATTATCAGACGCATATAAAAAAGTGAGACTCGAGATCGCACCTTTCCACCTTCCTGAGAAGGCGGATCCTAACAACATGGAACCTCAAGCCCCACTTTGTCGGGACCCACCTCCTTGAGAAGGTAAAAAAATAGGACCTCAAGCCTCACCTTTTTCTATGCGGCATATCATAAATTATTTGGAATCAAAATTGACATAATGGTCTAGGACACTGAATAATTACTCCCAAGTAAGATTGTTCATCTTCAAAGTGGACAAATTCTCAAGGATAGTGTGAGAGTATATTTATTTATATGGAAAATGCCCACACAATTATTAAACAGCTTTAAAATGATTGTACATTCCATGTAGAAGTGAGTAGGTAAGAAATGTACAACCATTTGATGCATTCTTAACCAAAGACTCCTGGGCAATTGTTGGCAATACCTTATTTATAGTAACAATAAACATCAATCCATACAGATGTCCAACACCCACATTTATATTTTTTTGACCATTCCAAGTATGTAGTAATGCACACATGATAAACATGGTGCAAGGGCACAATTTTCCAGGTATCATTACTTTTAACCCCATAAAGCATTTTCAAATCTAACGTTAGTAACTAAATTACTCATACATTAATATTGTCAAGGGCTATCACAAGAAAATTTGCATTTTCTTAATTTAATAAATGGTTTTAGACTGGTTCATTTGGAGGAAAACAATGAAACCCACTAACAAGGGTCAGAAGGCCCCTCCACGGTATGTACCCTTAAACAAGAACCAAGAACTAACCATTCAACAAGAACTCAGACAAAAAAGGAGGAGAATAGAGATCTAAATAGCATGAAGGACAAAACACCCAAAAATAAATAAATAAATAAATGCACCTACCTGTAAGTTTCCAAATTTTAACACCATGTTTAAAGTGGTCGTCTACAAACTGGAACTCCTTTCCCAACGCCCAAAGCTTTATTGTTCCAAATTCCAATGATACTTCTACTTTATTTCGTCAATCTAAGTGCTATGACAAGATGAATATGGAGGATCATCTGTGATTTCGGTATTTATGTCTTAATTCAAAAAACAAGCTATGATAAAAGAGTTATGGTTTGTCCACTAGTATTTTTGGGAACAAACTTAATGTTTAAAAAAATTAAGATATGAGATGGAATCAGTAGGCAAGTAACACATTAGCCATCCACCAGTGGATCCATCTCTGCAGTTGTCTGGCTGCTGCTGATTTAACAGCTTTCATTACCCATTGGCTGGCCATGGGATGGCCACCAAATAACAAAAGTAAGTATTACACAGAGGGACAAGACTCCTAATCTATTGAAAGATAAAAGATCCAAACAAGAATTAAGATTAACAACTGCATTCTAGCTTGAGGGGAAACTAAAAATGGGCATATATTTCATAAAAAATAAATCTTTCCCATTTCAGAAATCAGCTCATTACATAACGCAACAATTAAATGCAATACCCACCATTTTTCTTGGAAGATCTTCACATATTAACAAGCCCAATCAAATAAATTTATCAAATACTAACCGATACGATCTAGCATTAGCTTTTCAATATTCTCTCAAGTAAAATTATTTAGTGGAGGTGAGTGAGTGAGTGAGTGAAAAGTGTGAGATGAAATCAGTAGACAAGTAGCATGAATTTGAGGCACTCATCTGTGGACCCATCTCAGCGGTTCACCTTCGCTCAAAGCCTGCACTATCGAAGTCAGAGGCCTAGGATACAGAGTGCAAATGAGAAGCTCAAATTCAAACCAAGATATTCATATAAGATTTGTGATCCATATATAAATTTATATCAATAACATTTAGGTTCATTGACAGAACATAATTCATATAGATTTGAATGTATGGAATTGTAAAGCATTTATTAACAATTGATACCTACATACAACAGGGTCGGTGCGATTTAACCTCGCAGAACCCTAGCTTCTCGAAGAAACGATACTGACGAGAGAGAGAGAGAGACATTGACACGGCCAATTTCCCTGAACGTGACATTTTGAATATTTTAGTCCCACACTTTAGCACTATGTTTGGATTGAGTGATTTGGAGACAAAAGAAAAGAAATAGAGTGATATATATTTCTTTTATTTGTTTGGATAATCTAAGTAGAGAGAAATGGAAAGAAAGGATGAGAAATGAATTTCTCTTATAAACCTCATTTTCAATCTTTCCAAAAGTGGAGAGATTGAGAGAGAAAAGAAACCACTATTTTCATAATACCAATTTTGTCCCTATAAAAATAAAAGAAATAAAATGATTGAAAATATAAAAAGGTTATTTTGGTAATATAACATAAAATAATTTCTTTTCTTTTCTCTTAATGAAACCTAACCAAACAAGAATGAGAGAAATCACAATCATTTCTTTTCTTTTATTTCTTCCTTATCCAAACAAAAAGAAGAGAAATCACAATCATTTCTTTTCTTTTCTTTTATCTTATTACTTAAGTAATCATTTCTTTTCTTTCCTCTCATAAGTTCCCAAACATAGTGTAGGTGTGTTTTCTACTTTATTCCAATATAGGGTTAAACGATTTTGTCAAATCCGTTTTTTTTAAAACGGCTTTGCCAATGTCATTTTTAATAAATAAAAAAATAATAAAAATTTTCCTCCTTCGTAAAATTGATTTTTCTAAAATTATTTTTTAATTTTTATTATAAAAAATTCTCAATTTATAAATATTGTTTGTCTAAATAAATAATTTTTATCATAATACAAAACGGTTTTCGAAAAGCCGTTTCATTATTAAACAAAACCCATCTCGTTCTCCCTTCGAACTTAGGAAAGCCGTTTTTGATATCCAACAAAAACACAGTTGCGATTCTCACTCAGCGCGAACTCCGAAGGGAAGACCGACGACGAAGAGGAAGCAACGAACAATGGCCAACAGTTACACCACCGGCAAAACGAGGAACACATTCAGCAAACACCCCACATTCAGGTTAGTTGTATCGGCATAAATGAGGGTTTTTCAAATTTACAGATATTTGGGATTTTAAAAATTTCGAAAATTAGGGATTGCTGAAAACTAGGGTATTTGAAAAGGTACAAATTTTTTATTCGTAAGATATAGTTTATGATTTTCTGTATCTCAGTTCAATTTTTCATATCTCTGTTCAATGTTACTCCTTTTTTGTTTATCATAATAATTGTTATGATCAGGTTTTTTTTTTTTTTTTTGTCCATTCAATGTTTTGATGTTTTTGTTAATTTTGGCTAGTACTTTGTTCGTGTACTGTAAAATGGGTGGTGCATATGTGATGTCAAACTTGGGTTATAAAATTGATGTTAAAGAAATCAAATGTTGTTATCTAAATGTTGATAATTTTCACCGTCGTTCTTCTAATTAGGTAAATCAATTTTCGTTTCCGTGCGTTCTGTCTGTTAAGGTTGGAAATGAAATAGAAATTGGGAATACTTTTTCAAACGTTTCGAAACATGAGAAATAACAAAAGGAATTTGAAAGTGTATGAAAATATTTGGAAAAAAAAAAAAACAAAAACTTTTATTGATGTTATAAATTCCCATAGTTATTACTTGAACATGTTGAGTGTTACGAAATGCTTAGTTGGATAAAGGGGTTTTGCCAATTTTAAAGAAAATATATTAAAAAGAAATTGCGAAATTCTTGTGACAGTAGGCATGGAAAAATAAAACAATTGGTGGCATTGCTCCTTAATGTTTTCTTAGACTAACGAGCACAATAAAGCCTCAAAAAATCTTTTTTTGGTTGGTCTTAATTCTTAAAAGAAGTTCAAAAGGGTCTATGTGTCATTGTTTGCACTTG